GGGACTTGCCGGTTCTATTTTGAAATCACTCGAGAGGGCTTACATAGCACCTCCGAGGTCACTTTGCTAAAAGAACTTGGACCGAACAACATGACATCGACATGATCTTACTACTATGAACTTAACTATATAAAAAGAGAGTAAATAGAGGTATACCCTTCAGTTTGGTCGAGGATTGCACGGTGATGTGCGTGCGTGTGCTAAGCTTGAACGCGTGCGTACTTACTTCCCTTGTGCTTCCGCCTTCCTTAGCTATTTTTGTATAATTTTCTCACAATATTTTTTTACTATTTTTCTCTCTATTCTTTGCTGAAGAAGACTCGGTTTTGCATGAGCAAAATGCATGGGAGTTTACTTACACGTACGGTAATTTAAGGAGGGTAAAAGACGAGAGTGAAACTTAGGTCAAGGAGGTGATTGATGACGATTTCTCCCCTTGCTGCCATGTGTCTCGGCCAAGTGCTGAAGTGTGGCGTTTGAAGCCTAGTCATTGCCGTGGTGTCGGGCATGCACGGGCTTAGTCATCGCCCGTGCGTTCGTGACATGCCGTGTGTGCAAGCAAGGAGGTGACTCACCACCCCACTTGCACACCCAACATTTATCCTTGGATTTCCCTCATGTAATTCTTAAGATGGGGTTTTTGTCTAATCGAGTTGCTAAGCTTTGCCTAAGGGCGTGCTTAGCGGCTAATGACGCGTGCTCTAGTGCGCGATGCGCGGCAATGCGCGCGGTGTGTGTTTGCGGGCATAGGCATACACACGGCATGCGATACGCGTGCATGCTTAGTGCACCTGGTGTGCATTCATGACTTGGCTTAGCTTGATTTTAACTTCAAACTTAGATCCAAATATTCCTAACTTTATATAATTAATCCCGATTAATAATGTCCGTTAATAGAATAAACGGTTCGGAAATTAACTATCGAATTTGACTCGGTTAATAATTAACCGGATAAACTTTTTTACTTAACGTCGAACGTATTCGCTGAAAATAAACGGAATCAATAAAAGAAAATACATCATTTATACTAACAAGAAGTTGGGTTATTACAATTTACCCCCGTTAAAATATTTCCGTCCTCGGAAATATAAAACAAAACATATATACATGAAAGATATACATATCAAAACTGAAAATCAGGAAAACGAACGCGAATGTCAGCCTCTTGCTCCCAAGTGGCTCCGTGGTGATCCCACTGAATACGAACGAGGGGAACATCACGCTTCCGGAGCCGTCGAACCTGTCGGTCCAACACAGCTACCGGTCGCTCCTCGTAAGATAAGTCTGGATGAATCTCAATATCAGTATGAGGAATGACATGATCGGGGTCGCACACGTATTTGTGTGACATAGATACATGAAAGACATTGTGAACACTGGATAACTCGGGAGGCAAGGCTAGACGATACGCAACATCGCCCACTCGCTCGAGTACTTCGAACGGGCCAATGAACTGAGGGTGCAACTTCTCTCTCTTCCCGAATCTAATAACTCCGCGAATAGGACTAACTCTGACAAAAGCGTGCTCGCCAACCTCGAACTGGATATCTCGTCGATGATGATCGGCGGTTGATTTCATTCTACTCTGAGCTGTTCTGAGTCTCTGCCGGATCAACTCGACTTGCTCGGCTATCTCCTCGATCAGCTTCAGACCGAGTACTCGACGTTCACCGACGTCGTCCCAATAGAGAGGGGAACGACATTTACGACCATATAGTGCCTCATAAGGAGCCATCTGAATAGAAGAATGATAACTGTTGTTGTACGCGAACTCGACTTACGGCAATAACGACTCCCATTTAGAACCTCTGTCAACAACCAAAGCCTGCAACATATCCTCCAGTGTCTGAATAGTCCGTTTTGTCTGTCCGTCTGTCTCGAGATGGTAGGCTGAAATGAATGCTAGCTTCGTACCCATCGCTTCGTGTAAACTCTTCCAGAATCTACTGGTGAATCTGGGATCTCTGTCTGACACGATAGTAACAGGTACTCCATGGAGTCGAACAATCCCACGGACATAAATCTCAGTCAACCTATCCAAAGACATACTCATCGATACTGGTAAGAAATGAGCAACCTTAGTCAGTCTGTCGACCACGACCCAGATAGCGTCGTGATGTTCAGACGACCTCGGTAACCCCATGACAAAATCCATCGCAACCTCCTCCCACTTCCACCTCGGAATCGGCAGTGGTCGTAGAAGGCCTATGGGACTCTTATGCTCGGCTTTGACCTGCTGACAGGTTAAACATCTCCTTACAAAGTCGGCTATGTCTTTCTTGAATCCTCGCCACCAAAACGACCCTTTCAGGTCGTGATACATCTTTGTACTTCCTGGATGAGCTAGATAGGGTGCGGTATGAGCCTCAGATAAAATCTCCTTTCTCAATGCCTCGACTTTCAGCACCACAACCCTGCCACAAAATTCCAAGGCCCCATCAGTGCCTCGGTGAAAACCCTCGACGCCTCCGGCACGAACCTTGGCATCAATCGCACGAATAAACTTATCTGAAGCTTGCTCTTGCTGGATCCTCTCCCTCAGTGTCGGCTGAACTTGCATAGAATTCACACTCCCCGTACTAACTGTAGGGAGTGCATCGATCACCTGAATCTGCATCCGGGCGAACTCATGAATCAACTGACTCTGCTGAGTAACAACGTATGTCAAGTCACCATTTACCTTGCGGCTCAGGGCATCAGCGACTACATTCACCTCCCCGGATGGTACTGGATCGTACAATCATAATCCTTGACCAGCTCTAACCAACAGCGTTGTCTCATATTGAGTTCCTTCTGAGTAAAGATATATTGTAAGCTCTTATGATCGGTGAAAGTTTCGCATTGACCGCCGTATCGATAGTGTCGCCAAATCTTGAGGGCATGAACAACTGCAGCTAATTCCAAGTCGTGCGTCGGGTAGTTATGTTCATGTGGTTTAAGTTGGCGTGAAGCATAAGCAACGACCTGGCCATCTTGCATAAGTACACATCCTAAACCCTGCCTCGAAGCATCACTCTAAATGGCGAAGCTCCGAGAAAGATCTGGAATAGTCAACACTGGTGCCGTCGTAAGCCTCCGTTTCAGCTCCTGAAAACTCGACTCACAATGGTCTGTCCATTCGAATTTTACAGACTTCCTCGCCAGCTGAGATAAAGGAAGGGCAATCTTCGAGAACCCCTCAATAAACCTGCGATAATAACCTGCGATGCCGAGGAAACTACGAACCTCGTATGGATTCTTCGGTGCTGACCAATTCTGAACTGCAGCAATTTTGGAAGGATCAACTTCAATACCTGCTGAAGTAATAATGTGACCAAGAAAAGCCACTCGCTGAAGCCAAAATTCGCACTTGGAGAACATTTCATATAACTTCTTACGTCTAAGGGTCGAAAGAATGGCCCTCAGGTGCTCCTCGTGCTCCTTCTGGCTCTTGGAATAAATAAGAATATCATCGATAAAGAAAATAACGAACTGATCGAGAAAAGGATGAAATACACGGTTCATCAAGTCCATGAATACTGTCGGGGCATTACTGAGGCCAAACGACATAACCACAAACTCGAAGTGACTGTATCTCGTACTAAAAGCTGTCTTGGGTATATCTGATTCCTTGATTTTCAGCTGATGGTAGCCTGAACGCAAATCAATCTTGGAAAACACGCAGGCACCCCTCAACTGATCAAATAAATCATCGATCCTGGGAAGCGGATATTTATTCTTGATCGTCAGCCGGTTAAGATACCGGTAGTCAATACACATACGCATGGATCCGTCCTTCTTCTTGACAAAGAGAACGGGTGCTCCCCAAGGTGAAACGCTCGGTCGTATAAAACCGAGATTCAGCAACTCTTGAATTTGGGTCTTTAGTTCTTGTAATTCTATAGGCGCCATTCTGTACGGTGCCTTCGAAACGGGTCTGGCTCCAGGGATAAGATCAATAGAAAACTCCACCTGTCGGCTGGGTGGACCTCCGGGAAGCTGGTCTGGAAACACGTCCACGAACTCACGAACGATAGGAATGTCATGAGGTGAACGTGCCTTTGGCTCATCTTCAACGAGGCTCACAAGGTAACGCTGGCAATCACCCCGTCGAAGAATCTTTCTGTCTTTTGCCATAGAAATAACATGTGGCAGAGTACGAGTCCTGGAGTCATAATAAGTGATCTGATCATCTCCCGGAAGATAAGGAGTAATCTCCCGGTCATGACATCGGATATCTGCGTGAAAACGTGTTAGCCAATCCATACCGAGTATGAGGTCAACATCTCTCATCTCGATAACATAAGCATCAGTAATCAGAATACGGCCGCCGATGGAAAGGCTGAGATCGGTGGCTCTAGCGTCTGTCACTATCTTTCTTACCGAGGCTAAACTCACCTCGAGAGGATCGACAGCGGTAGTGGAACGAACCCCAATAGCTTCAAGACATCGACGCGATATAAAGGAATGAGTCGCTCCAGTATCAAATAATGCATAGACAGGCACATCATTAAGAATAATCATTCCGGACATGGTACCTGGGTGCTGGTCGGCCTCCCTCTGTTCAACTGCAAAGACACGGGCCTGCTGTCTGCCGCGTGGTTGTTGCTGGGTCGTGGTGGCTGCTGCCTGGCTTGCTGTTGTTGAGGTTGCTGCGGTGGTTGACGTTGTTGTGGTTGTTGTTGCAGTCATTCTGGACAGTTGGTGCTGAAGTGACCTGGCTGGCGGCAAAAGAAACAAACATTCTGGCCCATGAGGCATTCTCCACGGTGGTGTTTCCCGCAGGTTGGGCATGCTGGTATTTGTCTGGGACGGGTCCTCCGGTCATCAAGAGTGTTTCTGAACTTCCTCTTCTTCTGGTTCTTTGACGGTTGGGCAACTTTGGGCTATGCTGGTGGTTGAGCAACTGGCTGGACTGATGTCTGGACGGCTTCTCGTCGGATACTGGCATCGACTTCTTGTGCAATGGCAACTGTGCGGGCGTAGGTCTGGACGCCGTGACCTACGATGTTGTGGCAGACTGCTGGGCGAAGTCCGTCGGTGAAACGATGGGCTCTCTTCGCCTCCGTATCCACAAGATCAGGTACAAAGGCTCCGAGACGGGTAAACTCTCTTTCGTACTCGTCAACAGAACGAGTACCCTGGACGAGTGCCAAAAACTGGCGCTCCATGTCTGCTCGGTAATACGAGGGATAATACTTCTCTCGGATTAACTCCTTGAATCGGTCCCACGTACAACCTTCTTTCTCGCCGGGACGCATACTCCAATAGGCATTCCACCAGAGTCGGGCATCCCCGGTCAACTGAATTTGGGCACATAACATGCGATAACGATCAGGGCAATCCTTGACCTCGAAAATCATCTCGAGGCCCTGAATCCATTCATCTACTATACGAGGATCTCCTTGGCCGGAAAACTTTTCTGGTTGGTAGTCGCGAAACTGTGCGACTACTGTGGCCTGGGAGCGTTCCTGGTGTTCTGGATCTCTACAAGGAGGCATCTGAACATTGAAATGTTTAACATGATTAATAACATAAGAGATAAACTGACTGACTACTTAAGTACACAAATTTCTTGACGAGTCGCTAAATAACCCGAGAATACTAAAGTCGAATTATCAAGTAACAGGGACTATCGACTATATTTTGAAAATACTCGAGCATCTTACTGGCTTCTAGGATTAATTATCTGATACCCTCTAACTGAGCATAGACTTAAGCATTCGTTTAATTATATATAAACTATAACTCAGCACTTACCTGATAGTCGGCGAGGCGTGAGCGTAGCATGGTCGGGTCTTTTCTGAAAATTTCTGACTTAAAAATATTCAGATACACAAAAACGTGCTCTGATACCAATTCGTAACACCCCGCTAGCTTACTAAAATCAGAGTGCGATTTTCGCAAATTTCTTTTCTAAAATTTACATTTATGTTTGCGAAACATATCTCGGGATGCTACATAAAGTATTTCCTTTCTGAAAATCCGTTAACTTTATTAATTTTAAACTTATTTATAAAAACAGATTGTCTTTTTATAAAACAAGCGTGTGATGTTGTATAAAGTCTAAACCGAAGACTCGAATCGTAGTCTGAAAATTTACACGCTAGTTTCAAAATCTGAAAACGTCAGCGGAAGTAAAAACGTGGCAAATAATATACATATAGTAAATCTGCAAAAGCATAATTACATATATACTGCACCGGCGACCACCAGTGTAACACCCCAAGTTTTATTAATAAAGGAAAGCACTAGCTTTTAATATTAAGCTAGTCTTTGTTAATAAATAGTTATTTTCATGTTCAAGTTTAAGTAAATCAGTCAATCAGATTCTAAGTTCGACTATCAGTCGATATGTTATTCGGTTGGATAACCGAATAAGTTCTCAGATATTAATTCCGATTCATTTAATTATTAAATGGTTGGAATTACTAAGTTAAGTTGACGAATTATTCGAAATAATTATATTTGGATAAATCGTCTAAGTTAAGGATATTCGAATTAACTTTCGAATGTCATGTTCATGTTCGGGATAATATTCCGATAGTTAATCCAGTCAAAGTTCTTTATGTCAAGTTCGGTTTACCTATACTGTGACGCGTTCACATTGGTACACCGTCCATTGTTAATTAAGTAATGATCATAAGTCGTACTTAATTAACTTAATCATGTTTAAGCTAATTAATCGAGATTAGCTTAAAATAATTATGATTAGCTTAATGTTAATTAAGATTAATTAACATTAATGAGGATTAATTAAGGGATAATCGCTTAAGGAGTTAATGAGCAAGACAGTCAGTTTATTAATATAAATCATGTTTTAGTTCCGAGATAATAACGTTGTCGATTATTATTTTCGGAATTAATTAATTATGTTCAGTCGAGATTACCGAAATGTATTTTTGACGTACTGTTTACGTTCGGAGTAATTTTGGTAATTAAGCATTATGTTTAATTGATTAATTAAACATATATTAGTGAGTAATTATTGATTAATCTCACTTTAGAAATTAAGTCATGTTTTGGTGAGCAAATTCTCTAATTACCGTGAAATTCTTTTCAATTGAGAAACCAATTTTCTTTCCTCTCTTTGATGTTATACGTGGCATAAGAAGGAGGTGATTAGTCATCACCAAGTTAACTATTAGAGAAACAATTGTACAAGCTCAAGAAGGCCACGTCTCCCTCATGATTCCAACATTTTCTTTCTCGGCCTGAGGTGATAGGAGAGTACTGAGACCAAATTTATCCCTATTTTTCTCATAAGACTTCAGCTATAAAGAGTTTAGAGTAAAGAGAGTGAAAGAGATTATATTGGTTAACCATTCAAGAAGAAGAATTCACCGCAATTGCACCCCCACCATCATATGCGCATGGTTACTCGGAGAAGGAAATCACGACCTTTATTCACCATCAGTTTTAGAACAATTTCAGAGGTAACTTCCTCATCATGTTAAAATCATATTAGTAAGGTTATTAAAAGGTTAATTGTTCAAGTTAAATTCAGAATTTTAGAAGAAAGTTCGCGATTAGGCTCGGTATTGGCCGTGAGGGGCCTAACCGAGTAATCTTTAATTGTATTCAGATTTCACCGAACAACTTGCATGTATTTAGTCAGTTTAGATCATTATATGATCAGTTTATATGATGGTTTAATCAGAATTCAAGTCGAATTCATGTAGAGATCTTGAATCGTCCGACCGTGTGCATATCCGGGTGTAGGTGTATGTGTGTCCGCAAGAGAATTCATATCAAGTCATGTTGTTACAGAAATTTAGTGACCAGCAAGCCTTATTTAGCTGATATTTATATGATTAATAGTTCAGCGTTTGGGTGCCTTGGCATAGAATTGTGTTAAATTGTAAGTCGGTCGAGTCGGTGGCCGCGCACATCGCGCGTAACCGCGGGCCGCATTGGGTTAAAGTATAGTTGCAGTTATGGACAGGTTATGTTGTGTATGTCATTACTACAACCTTAAAGTATTGATTATGTGATTAAGTGTTCAAGAGTACTAAGAGGCTGAAGTTTTGTTTGAGTCGGTCGGTAATCGGCCGAGTAGACGGCGGCGCACATCGCGCATGTCCCGAACTATCGGTTATTATGTTCTGTTGCTAATTATGGTCTCGGTCATTCATACACGTCAAGTTTTAATAGCTTAAGAAGGTTATTTATATGTGATTGTTATGGTGTTGGCCGAGAGGTATAAGGAGTAGTCGGGCAGCGGCCCATTGCCGTTGGCGGCACTCGACGCATTAGCCATGGGTCTATCTCGGTTAATTGAGTAAAAGAGATAATCTTAAGTTATTTCAGTGATTATGTGTAAGTTATGTCAAGAATGTTATGTCAAGTATTTATGTTTAATTGTTCATGAAGAGGTACCCTAAGTTCAGTCTAGTATATGTGAGCTATATATGTATATTGGGTCGAGTGTCGGCTTATTACCATTGGTGGTGCACGGAGTGGCCGTCACGGTCTTGTGTAGTTCAAGGTGCAAAGTTGAGTAATTTCAGTTCCATTCTATACAGTTTGGTTCGTATTTTAAAAATGTAAAGCCCCGGTTTATGTTCAAGTCCCAATTTCAGTTAAATTCCGGGTTCAGACCAGTTCAGTAAATTTATGTCAGTCCAGTCCCGAGTTTAGTTAGTTCCGGTTATACCGGTTAAGTTCGGATATCATGTTTAAGTCTAGTAGAGCATCTTAACATGTTAATCAGTTATTTTATTAGTCTGAGCATAGTAATTGGTAATTGTTTATATTATTTTCAGTTTGATCAGGATGCAGATATCAGCACTTACATTTTCAGATCAGCAGTTCAGGTGGGGACTCAGACTAAGTATTACATTGAGTATAATTACAGTCATCATGTTCAAGGTATGTATGTTCAGTTCCTGCTCAGTGAGGCTAGACAAAGTAAGACCATCTGAGTTCTAGTGGCGTAATCTGCCCACTAGAGTGTGCACATAGGCGCGACGCAGTATATTATAGCCGCCAGATACAGCATTCGATCCCGTAGCAGTTACGGTTGATCGCAGTTACAGTACATGACATGACAGCTCAGTTATATATATATGCTTTAGATCATGATATTACAATTATTATTAATGTTTACTTTAGTATGAGTTTCCACGGAGCACAGTGCCTTAGTGCTCACTCCCCAGTTTTATCATGTTTTTCAGGTTATGAAGTCGGGCCGGAGGAGTGAGATGACGGAGCTGTTCGGGATTATGCTTATAAAGTTTAAATTACCTAAGCTTTATGCTTATAAAGATTAAATTACGTTTTGTACAGTTAGAATTTGGAATAGCAAAGCCGTTATTACTTTCAGATAAAATGTTTTCACGACTACGGCATTGCTAACCAAATTCCCAGCTACAGCTTCCGCTGATGATTGACCGTTTGTCATACTTAGCCCTTTTATCAGTCAGCAAGCTGTTGACAATTCACTGTTGTGCAACCGAAGTCCATTATCAGTTCTGCGACAGTGAATTCGTCTAGTTTTATCAGTCATGTATTAGTTAACTTTTGTAAATCAAAAGTTTCAGACTTTTCAGTCAGTTATGTATTTTAGTAGCACTCCGAATCAGTATTTCGCAATGTAAAAATGATGTTATTTTCAATAAAATTGCGAGTTACGTACTCTGATATTTATGACAAGGCGGGGTGTTACAACCAGCTCCGCTCATTCCTCCGGACCGACGCTGTCACCTGAAAAAGGATCATAATAGTGGGAGCGTGAGTACTAAAACACTGTACTCCGCAGAAACTCATACTGAATGAAACAGTAATAATAATTGCATCATCATGATCAAACGCATGTATATCTGCTGCTATCTGTAACTGCTCGTCAACAGTATAAACTGGACGTGTCTGCCGACTGTAATAAACTCAGCTGGAACCATGTGCACACCCTAGTGGTCAGATCTAGCCACTAGAGCTCGGAGTGGAATTACGAAAACTGGCCACCACTCTAAGCGGAACTGATATATACATACCTCACGCATGATAGCTGTAATTATACTCAATGTTATACTCAGTTTGAGTGCCCACCTGAACTGTTAATGTAAGTGCTGCTGCTGATCACTCTGAAAAATATATAAATAAACAAATACTAAGTACTACGCTCAGACTGACTGAAAATAGCTGTTAGGATGCTCGACTCGATCTAATTATATAACTGGAATATTCTCGGGACTTAACTTGACTGACAAGAAAAATCGGACTAAACTGATAGTGGTGTACTGGACTGTCTGGACTGAAAAATTAACTGAAATACTGTACTGGACTTGGACCGGATCAGTAAATATTGGACAGTTCAAAAACTGGT